ACCACCACCACTGCTGAGGAGACCCCCAAGGTGTTGTGGGAGGATTACTTAAGAGGCAATTGTCTGGCTCATTGGTCCTGCGGGGCCTGGGCAGGAAGGTGAGGGGGCACCCCTGTCATTGTGGATTCACGTTTAAGTTGGGAGCACCTGCATGAATTTTGTGTGTGTTTTTCACATAACAAGATGGATCTATATTACTGGGAGGACTCATAGCATCTATGTTGTTTATTTATTTGTTTTTTATTTAATTATGTGGATAGGGTATTTATAGCGATGCACTACTTTATTATTATACTTCTCTTCTGTGTTTGGTGCCAGGGTTGTGTCACCTTAGTGCTGGCAGCTTAGCATTATTTGCGTATTGTAATAGCGCAGGAGTAATATTTATATACAATTTATGTGAAAAAAATGCTGTGTGACATATAAAAAAATGCAGAATTCCTATAGAATAACTAAAAACCAAAAACACAGACCTGGTAAATAAAAAAACAAAGATGTGACTCAAATGAATACTATTAAAAAAAAAAAATAATTATAAAACAAAGTCCATCAACATCCAACATCCAATAAATCTGCTCACCTCCAGCAGGGTGACCTCGCATTTTACAATGTTTTGGTCTAACTGCACTTTTGGTCCCAAATATACGGACTCTGTAGATCAACTTGCTGAATAATAACTCCCAGGATGCTAACTCCAGATAACTGCCTTAATGTCATCCATATTCCATATGCTGTATGTCCTTAAAGAGGACCTTCTCACCTCTTCCTTTTTGTTGCTTTTCTTAACAAAATGTTTTCATCGTGTCCTTTTCTCTGGAAGGGCAAGGTTTGGTTCATTAATCACCTGGTGACTTCAGGGCTATGGTTGGAAGCTAATGTATCGGTTCCCCCCTGTCCATATAATTTCACTTATCCATTTTCTGCTGTTTGCCCTTCACCCGGAGTTGTGGACGGGTGAACAGTCTGGTATTTTTGCTAAGGACAAGGTGGTGTTTAGGGCTAGGACTTCCTTTTTAATAAAGGAAGTGCCCATTGCTGTCCTTGCCCTTGTTTGCTTTACCAAGTCAGGGAAATTATAAAGTATAACTAAAGGCAGAACTTTCTTTTTTTAGTTTTGGATAAAGTAGAGAGGGAATAGAACACCTGTAAGGTTTTCATTGCTGGCTGTGTACTCATTAAAGAGATTCACCCTCTGTATTTGACCTGTTTATGGTTATCAATGAAAGCAAAAGAAAATACGGTACTAAAGTACTTTGAGTTGTCCCTAGAACAGTTGAAAAGGGAAAATCTTCTAATGGGGGCACTAGTTCTGATGAACCTACTAACAACCAGGGATTTCCTCACTCTTGAGGGATTTCCTCTCACTTCCTGTTTTGCTTACGGGACAGGAAGTTTGAGGGTTATCTCCTGAATGGGACACAGATGGCAAAAAACATGCTAGGGGTTATATTCCTCCCTTACTTTATCCAAAATTCAAAAAATGTTTTGCCTTTAGTTCTACTTTAGGCATAAATATGTGCTAAGGACTGTATTTACCTGACTAGGATGCATAGGTGTTCCATGCATCCATGTACAGGCAGCCCTATTTATGTCTATAGTGATGCAGCAGCTGCACAGACACATCCACTGGTCCCAATCTGAAAGTCGTGCAGGTGGGTGTCCCTAAATGCATGCAGTATGTGTTCGGGGACATGCACCTCTGCAGCTGTCAAATTAGGACCAGAGGCTGGGTCCATGCAGCTGCTACATTCAACAGACATAAATGGGACTGACTGCATGCAGATGCATGGAACACCTGTGCAATTCCTGCAGGCAAGCATGGCCCTTCACATGGATGTATGCATGGATGTATGCTTACTATTAAAATGTAAATAGAGATGTTTAAAAAAGGCATATATGTAAATAAAATGTATAAAAATATATATATATATCACAAACAAGACATTCGCAACCTCCAGACTGCTTCTTTGATATATTTGACTGTCGAAGGAAGACTTGAAAAAGCATGTCTGTATAATTCCCCCATCCATTTGCTGCCGTCTGCCTTTATCCTGCATTATGGAAAAATTGGCAGTCTTTTACATTTTTGATTAGGGACAAGGTGGTGTTAAGACCTAGGACTTCATTTTTTTTAAAGTATTACACAGCTTGCATTACCATTCTTACCTGTGATTGATTCAAAAGGACAGGGACTGCCCTACAAGAAAAAAATAATTGAAACAATTGATTGATTACAATTGTAAATACAGTTACAGCAAAAACATAAAAAGCCTACCTCTGAGTGAATAACCTCTGCCTTTCACTTTAGGCCTGACTGGACAGCCCTGGTCAAGTTATGATTTTTCTAATCACATGGCCCTCCACGGCCATACACCACCCAGATCAGCATATTTCTGTGGTGGGTATAGCAATCTGCCCATACAAATCAATAACAGGCTGACATGCAATTGCACATGGAGCAATTACCTGTGGTAATCTGTGAGACAGATGAGCAGCATTGGAAACAAACTGTCTGCATACAGGGCTGCTGATCTTTAATGGCCATACCCACCACAGAAAGTGTGCTTCTAAGCAAAAAAATTATCTGGATTTATTCCATCCTTCAGAAATGCCATAAGTACAGAAAGTTACCTGGTGATATGCCACAAAATCCAGTATACTCCCCACAAAAAGACTGACAGCTCGTTAAAGGAAATATTTGAAACTCAGATCTATGTTACCAAGTACTTGTCCGCATTTTGTTTTCTGTCTGATATATTGTATATTCAATGTAGTTATGTTAACTTTTTCACATTCAGCAAGAAACTTGACCATAGGTTCCCTCAGGGTTAATGGTAGCAGATCCCCTGATTTTTCTCTTGTATCAAGGAGTGGTGAATCATTCCTTTTGAAGCAACCCAAATGTTTCTTCTCCTTATGCTCACTAGCAGAAGCACACCAATTCTCCTTTTCCTCACTACTAGCATCCCAGCCCTCCTCCTCCTTTTCCTCACTGTCAGCACCCTAAAAATCATGCTCACTACTAGAAATCCAACACTCCCCACTGCCAGAACTTTAACTCCCCACCTCTCATATTCCACCGCTGCCTCTTTATTCCTTATGGCATTCCATATACTGATGTGGGGCCGGGATGCATTCTGTGCACAATAATGGTGGAAGGTGTATGGCCTACTGGGCAACATAATGGCAGCTGAGTACCGGACAGTGGTAAAACACAGGCCACAAACTCATGTACACAGGTTGTTTGGCAAAGCTAGCAGGTAGATGCTGAGTATGGGCGCCATTTGGGGGAAATTGTTGCTTTTGCTCCAGCAGTAACAGTGTAGGGGTCAATGGTTGAGCCCTGGGGATAGCCACAAAGAAATTCCTCCAACTTCTAATAGCCAGTTGGTGGGACTATGGCTGGAAAGCTAAATGTATGAGCAGCACTAGAAAGGCAAGTGGCTGTTCTGAGCTACTGAAGGGGAGAAGGAGGAAAAGGGTGCATGAGCAGCACTGTAAAAAAAAAGCGGATCCTCTGCTACCTTGAGCATGTGGAAAAGGAAGTAAAAAAAAAGTGTCTGTTATGCACCCCTGAGAAGGAGGTGGAGGAAAAAGGGTGCATGAGCAGCATTACACATGTGTGTCTTTTTTTAATTCAGTGCTGAGGCTGAACTTCCGTAATCATTTACCGGTATATCATATTCTGTGTAATATTTTACCTAATAAAAGCAGTGAGACAAGCTATAAAAAAAATATCAGAATGCATTTCTTTATTCATGAGTAGAACTCAGAGAAAAGCCAAATAATATGTGGGTACAAAGGCATGTGGTAGTGATAAGTAAGTGAGCAGAAAAGATATTTGGCATTCTTAACATTTGATCAAATTTTGAGAGAAATGGATATTTCTGAAACAATATGGAACATTTTTTTGCTATGGTTCATAGTGTACATCAAAAGACACCAGAGCAAAACAATCAACCAAGCCCAGCTGCCTTTGCTTCATGGATAAGGTTAAACTTAGGTTATAATAACTGGCAAAAGTCACAGCTGGATTGAAGATGTGATCGTGCACACCTTTTTCCAAAATGTTCACAATTCGTAGCAGATGTGAAATTCATGGAGAAACAGTTAAGATATATTGAATTTGTTTAAGTATTTATTATACTTTCAGCTTCATTTTAAAATAACAGTATATCCTGACACACTTTTTATATGGTTTACAGTAACAAGAAAATACTTTTACATATATAGTGTTAACTATAGACTGTTGCTTGATTGACTGCCAGCCAATACCTTACATGGCTATCTTTATAGCACAGTTTAAAATATGTACATTTTCTGGATAATAGTAAGTTTTGTAGAATTGTGTACTTTAAATGTACATCCATGCCCCCAGTTTATGAATCAGCTGCAAATTTCAGGTCCTGGCTTTCTGCTTTGCAGCTGTCCAGAATTAGTATCTGGCACAGTATATGTCAGTGGGGACTACCTGTGAATTAGCTGTAGAGTGATGCTCAAAGAGTGGAACAGTGCCGAAACCTAAACTGTGCAGCTGAAGACCTCTGGATTGAATTTGAGGGCATTGGGGTAGTAATAAAGCATGATATTACATTTACCTCTCCCTAATCCTGAGAACTTGCACTTCTGGATTTTTTGACACTACACTTTTTGTTAATGTTGCATTTATGGAGCTAATTACTCTCCCCCATATTTGTGTACAAGGAGCATAATGCTTCTAAGTAGAGGCTAATAATACATTCCTTCCGGGTCAGCAGATAAATAGAAAGTGTTTATAAAGAATTGGAAGGCCTAAGTGACTTTATTTTGAATTATTTTTTCCTGTTTTTCCAAGTTGAAATGTTCCCACTACTGCTTGATCAGTAAAACATGGTGGCAAAATTGATAATTTTTTTTCATTTGTATTATTATTAAAGTTTACCTTCATAAGATATAGCACAATATAAAACTCTGACAAGCAAGTTACACAAATTTGACTTTTTTTACTTCTGTTTTTACAGCATCAACCTTATTATCAAACATTTACTGTAACCCAGTATGGTAAGCACATTTGCAAAATATATAGGATTAACATATATCAAGTAATTCATGCATTTCTTTATTAATTTCTGAAAAAATATTATTTTTAGATAAACAATAGCTATTTTCTAAAGTTTTCATAAAATAATGTCGCTTCCTGTCTACATGCACTTGCTTCAACTTTGGCTGTACATTATTGCTCAAGGCTTCCTAATCGTGAAAGTTGTTACATATGATTTAAATCATACCAGCAAGGCATATCTATAGAAATTTCCTGTCCTAGAGTGGCAACACTTACTACAGTTTAGCTGCAGTGTTAACACCCTTTCCTTCATACCCCAGATTTGGGCTAAAACAACCCTGCAGACACACTAAAATTGTGACATTTGGCTCCTACTAGAGCATAAAAACATTCACAAGAAGCTTCTATGAACAGTCTACAAAATGTGCAGACAAAACATGGCCAAAGTAAGGTGATCACTGTAATTTTATAACAATAATGCAATCCTGTTGGATGTACGGTGCTCTACAAAAATATCCATTCTTTTATGAGAGTTTAGTTCTATTTTAATCATTAACAACTGCAATAGTTGCAGTTTAATTAACAAGATCAATTGGAAACCAATTAAAAGAAAAATTATCCTTCTGGATAAATAGCACATTTAAAGTCAACTTTACCCATGTCCACATTAAAACCAGATAGATGAAAAAAACACAAGTAAATGTAGTAATATATTTATTAGGAAAACGCATCCTATTCACACGTCTTTTTTGATGCAGCAAAAGTCTTGCATTTTGCTGCATCAAAACAGACACGTGTGAATAGGATGCATTTTGCTGCATAGAAATGCTTGTCAAGTAGAAATCCCATCCTTTTCTATGTGGCACATTCACATCTATGTGCAGCAGTTTAGTGTGAAAGAAAAAGGAACATCTTATGGGTCCATTCACACCAACACATATGATGCAGTGTAAATTCAGCCTAAATGTATTTTTAAATGCAACTAGGTATTTACCTTGATATCATTGTCTTGTAACTCCTTGTATAGCAGCAGTTATCTAGTTTGATCTAGTAGTTTGGGAGGTACCCTAGCTCCCATATATGTACTTCAACTATGTCTTTAGCTGTTTGCCTAGCACTACAGCTTGCACTTAGGAGCAGGACCTGTGGCAGTGACCAGGATCTGATACTGTATTTTGTCACAGTACCATCTTCCCCTGATCTTCCTTACCTTCTGACCCCCTTTTTTAATTAATCTGTTTCCTATAGAAGAAGGCTAAAAGCCTGGAACCTCAATTAGTTTTTATTGCTGTCTGTGTCCCTATTGTCATAAAGTTGTCACTTTGATAGAAAGTAAAGTGAAATCTTTTAAACAAGACACAGACAGCAAATAAATAAATCAATAAAACATACATTTTTTCCTACTCTGTCCAAAACTAAAACAAAATGAATTTGTGGCTAGAGATAACATTTAAAACATGCAGAATAATACAGCAAAATAACAGGATATTTTAATTCCCATGGGTCAAAAATGGACACCATGAATACTCAACATATCATATACAACTATAAAGGGCATTCCAAAAGTGTAGTTATGTATCTAAAATATAGAAATAATTGCAAACCACTTTACAATAAATCCTCATTGCTGTAAGTGAGAGCATAATAATATACCACATAGTTTTTAAAATGTGCCAGATGTGTTCCTGTACTTTAGCAAGTGCTTACATAGTAAAAGAAAAAATATAAGAAAGAACAAAAAGAAGAGACAGAAAGATGTGTTTTATATGTGTTTTTTATATAAACTATAAAATAGAAGTGAAGTAATAAATAAGAAAGGGGTTAAGGGGAGAATAAGAAGGGTGAGAGAAGACTAGCAAGTTCTCAATATTACCAAAACTACAAATAAAGCAAGATAAAACACACAGGCAATAACAAATAAAGAAGGGCAAGGAACAAATAAAAACAGGTAGGTACCGTGCGATCGCTTTAACAGGCTGATGTGCTATTAAATATGTATTTTTTTGCAATATCTTCGATCAGCAATCTCTCCATGTTTTAAGTATTTTAGTAAAGCTACCTACATTCCAATTCCCCTATGGAAGGGATGGACTCTGAATACTAGTGTCTAGGCATCACTGTCATTCTTCCTCTGTTTATCAATGTTTTCACCCAAGATTGGTACAATTTCTCCCAAAATTCTCACATTTTCAAAGTCAAATCCATTTAAAATATGTTTGAATCTTGGATGAAAGTGAATCTCTGGTGAAAACATTATTAAATAGAGCCATAAAATGCCCATTTTGGTAGCACAGGTAAAGCCTGGAATCCTCATTAATAGGAGTTGGGTAATTTTGTATTTCTAAGACCAACAGTTTTTCCCTTCCTGAGGTTTTATTGGCATATAACATTTGCAGGACTGTTTAATTCTTCACCTTACAAACTGGAACAAGCACAATTCTAATGCTTGAACACACTGTAATTTTGACTGTGCACTGTTAAGTAAAACCTATATGCTACCTTTTATTTTGGCTTCTATGTCTTGCATTTCCTATTAGCAAGTTTTATTCAAGTATTCCCTATCTTTTAGTTTTACCCAAGTTTGAAGTTCTTCTGTCTACTCCCTCATATCAGTCAATAAAAACTGGGTCATTAGAAGGAACAGTTACTGCCAAGTAAGTGCATTTTTAATTTAAATCTGTCTATACAAACTATAACTTTAAAAAAAATACAGATTAAAGCACAATCTACTGTATATGTGAAAAACAACATATTCACAATATGCTATTATGCCTTGATAGCGATGAGTTTTTCAATACTTTAATAAATGCAGGAGCTATGGTTTTTCTGAATGTTGGTCAAAAATGTAAAGCCCATACAACATTGCCTTGTTCAATGAGTGCTTTATTATATATCACTATAAAATAGTGTGCTTTCTGGACTAGAGTTTATTCTGATTATAGAACGTGCATGCAGTACTGTGATCAAGAAACCAAATTTCCTCTGATAATAATTGTATTGTAAAGTGACCATTGATCTATTGTAGTTATAGGATTACATTACACACATTAACATGAGCTATGTACAATTTAAAATGTACCAACATTTTAATTATACAGTTATTAACTTGTGCAACTTGAGTAAAATTAACATTGGTTAATTGTAAGCATGGGATTTATGATTAATTGCAGGTATACCTATGGCATGTCTGTAAAAGGAAAGCTAAATGTTACCTTATCATATGCAACTATTTTTCATAGAAGAAATATTACCAAAACATTTGAGGTAAGTAGACTGTAAACTTTTCATATACAGTAAATGCTGTCAGCGGGAATCTAGTCAAAAACACAAATCTTTGCACAGGTGGCAAGCATTTCTGGCCTACAACTTGGAAGAGGCTAAAACCAAGATTAACGTCACTAAATTGTATATGTATTTATTACATTTAAATTTTACAGCATTCTAGGTGAACATAAAACTCATATTTAGCCCATCTCCTGCTAAGCAATACAATTTCAGATCAGTCTGACAATGGAAGTGCAGCTACAGCTGAAATGCAGATGTATTTCACATGCTTTACTTAAATACATACCTATTAGGACTATAATAAGATGCAGGGAAAATCTCTTGTATGACATCACTGTCCTAATAAGGAAATACTATACTTCCGTGTTAGGATCCCGCATAAAAACGAATTGGCTTGCCAGTGTCACAGGAGGGCAGGATTAATGCCCTATAAGCCACTGCTGCCTCTAAATTGGGATACCCTTTAGAATCTGCCAGCATTCTGCTCCATAGTAAACTGTTAAGTGATTCTTCAGATCACTTTTGTACCACTTCACTAACATATTGGAAAAATATTCAAATAATGGATTTTACTCCCCAGATTTCAAGTCCATCAGTGGTAACACCTGTAGTCTTGGAGCACAAACCAGCGTACAAATCTTAAAAATGCCTGGTGCAAGGATGAAGACCTCCTTCAGTTCAGTTCAGAAGATCCCTCTGGGGTTTATTTACTAAAGCTGGATCACTCAGAATCTTGTGCACTTCTGCACAGAAACCAATCAGCTTACAGGTTTTATTGCTAAAGCTTAACTGAACAAGCCGAGGTTAGAAGCTAATTGGCTGCCATGTACAGATGCTCGAGATTCTTAGTGAACCAGCTTTAGTAAATAAACCCCAATGTGTGTGAACAATACTTATCATCCACAAGCCATAAAAAATTATAGCTCTTTTATTGTAATTGATTAAAAATTGCAGTAAACATAGATGAGAAGACAAACTGGAGGGAAAACCCTCAATAAAAGCAGGACTTTAAAGGCATTGTACTCATACAGCTCATTATAGATAAAACAATGACATTTATTAGTTCACATAAAAATGGTAAGAAATTCCATATCCATTATGTACAAAACGTTTCTTAACTGCTTCCCACCTGGCCACTGCACATAAACGGCCAGGTGGGATCCTCTCCGTTCTAAGTGGATGTTCAGGAACGTCCTTCAGAACATGTGCACAGGCTCGTGGCAGCGCAGCTGTGCGCTCTCAGTGTGCCTGTGTCCCTTGGACACAGCGCAACACCACTCAGCAGAAGGGCCCTCTGATTGGCTCTTCTGATCAAATGATGGCTGTGTCCAATCACAGCCATCATGTGATGTCAACAAAGCCGCCATTCAGTTGAACAGCTCTGCCTCTCTTCACACAGAGCCCGCGAGTGAGGAGAAGCAGAGCCGATCTGCGAGTTACACACAAGCACATCGCCCAAACATCACCCTGTCACAGTACCAGTGATCCACATCTGTCACAGTACCAGTGATCCACATCTGTCCCCGTGCCAGTGATCCATATCTGTGATCCACATCTGTCACAGTGCAGTGATCCACATCTGATCCACATCTGTGATCCACATCGGTCACAGTGCCAGAGATCCACATCTGTCATAGTATCAGTGATCCACATCTGTCACAGTACCAGTGATCCACATCTGTCACAGTGCCAGTGATCCACATCTGTCACAGTGCCAGTGATCCACATTTGTCACAGTGCCAGTGATCCACATTTGTCACAGTGCCAGTGATCCACATCTGTCACAGTACCAGTGATCAACATCTGTGATACACATATGTCCCCATGTCAGTGATCCATATCTGTGATCCACATCTGTTACAGTGCCAGTGATCCACATCTGTCACAGTACCAGTCATTCCCATCTGTGATCCACATCTATCACAGTACCAGTGATCCACATCTGTCACAGTACCAGTGATCCACATCTGTGATCACATCTGTCAAAGTACCAGTGATCCACATCTGTAACAGTAGCAGTGATTCACATCTGCCCCCATGCCAGTGATCCACATCTGTCACAGTGCCAGTGATCCACATCTGTGATCCACATCTATCACAGTAGCGGTGATCCACATCTGTTACAGTACCAGTGATCCACATCTGTGATTCACATCTGTCAAAGTACTCATGATCCACATCTGTCACAGTACCAGTGATCCACATCTGTGATCCACATCTGTTACAGTGCCAGTGATCCACATCTGTCACAGTACCCATGAGCCACATCTGTCACAGAGCGAGTGATCTACATCTGTCACAGTACCCGTGATCCACATTTGTCACCACACCAGTGATCAACAACTGTCACTGTACCCATGATCCACATCTGTCACAGTACCCATGATCCACATCTGTGATCCACATCTGTTACAGTGCCAGTGATCTTCATCTGTCACAATACCCATGATCTACATCTGTCACAGTAACCATGATCCACATCTGTCGCCATATCCATGATCCACATCTGTCACCGTAGCCGTGATCCACATCTGTCACAATACCCGTTATCCACATCTGTCACTGTACCCGTGATCCACATCTGTCACAGTACCCATTATCCACATCTGTTACAGTACCCGTGATCCACATCTGTGATCCACATCTGTTACAGTGCCAGTGATCCACATCTGTCACCTTACCCGTGATCCACATCTGCCACCGTACCCATGATCCACATCTGTGATCCACATCTGTCACTGTACCCATGATCCACATCTGTCACAGTACCCCTGATCCACATCTGTCACAGTACCCCTGATCCACATCTGTCACCGTACCCGTGATCCACATCTGTCACAGTACCCATGATCCACATCTGTGATCCACATCTATCACAGTGCCAGTGATCCACATCTGTCACAGTAGCCATGATCCACATCTGTGACAGTGCCAGTGATCAACATCTGTCACAGTACCCGTGATCCACATCTACATCTGTACCAGTGAACATCAAAATGTATAAAAAATTATACACCAGCGAGGAGGCTTTCCTGATACTAAGTATGACGGATGAGAGTAGCGGGGAACTCTCTTTGTCAGACTCAGATTCTGAGTATGAGCCAATTGAAAGCAGTGGGCCAGCAACAGATTCCGAGGAGGAGAGAGTCCAAACAAAGAGGTTCAGGAGATCTGAGGAGGAGCAGGCATCCACCAGTAGCGTAGTTGTGATTACAAGCAGTGCAGCACTCCCAGAAGATAGGCAGGCATCCAAGGGTAATTCCATTGTCCTGGTGCTCCAGGGCCTTCACAATTGTGATAGGTAGTTAGGAAATAAGATGTGTAATTTATGCCTCCAGAACACCTGTAGGTCCTACTTGGATGTTGGGCCTCTATATGTGGCCAGGCTGTGGAAAAATCTTACATATGTGGTATTGCCATACTCAGGAGGAGTAGCAGAATGTATTTTGGGCTGTAATATTTGGTATGTACATTCTATGTGTTAGAAATATCTTATAAATGGACAACTTTGTGTAAAAAAATAAATTTTCATTTTCTTTCCACATTTTCTGAAAACCTGTGGAAAAAATGACATGTTTAAAAGACTCATTTTGCCTCGTAGAATATATATTGGGGTGTTTTCTTTCCAAAATGGGGTCATTTTGTGGGTAATTCCATTGTCCTGGTGCTCCAGGGCCTTCAAAAATGTGATAGGTAGTCAGGAATTGAGATGTGTAATTTATGCCTCCTGAACGCCTGTAGGTCCTGCTTGGATGTTGGGCCTCTGTATGTGGCCAGGCTGTGGAAAAGTCTTACACATACGGTATCCCCATACTCAGGAGGAGTAGCAGAACGTGTTTTGGAGTACAGCTGCAAGTATGCATATGGCGTGTGAGAGGAATAACCTATTAATATAACAGTTGTGTGAAAAAAAAACAAATTTTATTTACTTTCTTAATTTTCCAAAGAATTGTGGGAAAAAAATTACAGGTTCAAAAAACTCACCATGCATCTTACTAAATACCTTGGAATGCATGCTTTCCAAAAAGGGGTCATTTGTATTTGTACTAACCTGGCTTCTCAAGAAATGAGAGTACATCAGGTTTGATAAGGTGTGTTCACTTTTTTCAATGATTGGTACCATAGCTTATGGACTCTATAACTTCCACACAGGCCAAATAATACACACCGATTGGGATTATTTTTACCAAAGCAATGTACATTTTGGCCCAAATTTATGAAGAAAAATTACTTATTTGCAAAATGTTATAACAGAAATGAAGAAAAATGTGTCTTTTTCAATTTACAGCACAAAAAAATAAAAAACTCAGTGCTAATTAAATACCACAAAAAGAAAGCTCTATTTGTGTGAAAAAAAAAGAACAAAAATTTCATTTGGGTACAGTGTTGCATGACTGAGTAATTATCATTCAAAGTGTGAGAGTGCTGTAAGCTGAAAATTGATCTGGGCAGGAAGGGGGTAAAAGTGTCCTGTATTGAGGTGGTTAAAATCATACAGCTTCAAAGATGATGTGGTGTCCCACAAGTAATTTCACAGTTAACATCTGCTTCATCAGGGACCTTTTGGGACTATTCAAATAATGTTTTCCACAGTTATTACATGGCAATAGAATCATTAAGGTAGATAACATCTCTAATTTACAGAAGCTTATCATCACATCTGTTTGAATCTCAGTTATCACTACTTCCTGAGAAGGTGCAATATGTGTAGTTAAAATGCCCTCACCTCACCAAAACAGCAAGGGAGGGCTACCTGGACATTGGGCCAAGAAGAGAGGAGGAAGAAGCAGGCCACCACACAATAAATAAACAATAAATAAAAAATTATATATGCTTATCTCCTATGTGATAATTTATACATACTTACATGCTCCTATCCAGTTGGAATATGTTAAGGG